GGCGTCTAGATTTTGTAACAATCGGCTGGCAATTTGGAGCAAGGTGCTCAAACAGGGGGAACGGTTCCACACGGGCCGCCATTAGGCCACAAATAGTAAAAGGAGGTCTGGATCCATGAAACGATATCTCAATTTTACGATGATATTTGAGGAAGTTGTGACCAAGTAATACGTCAGAGCAAAGGTTAGATAAAACGGATAGTTTCACATTGGAATAACAGGTGTCTTTGTGTCGAATGGAGCAAATAATATGTCCTTGGGTGAAACTAGAATGAGTAGTGGAGGCCATAACGATGTGCTCCCGAGAGGTTTCGATATGAAATTTGTTAAGTTTTACAACTGAAGCGGAAATGTAGCTTTCAGAGCTCCCAGTATCGACAAGGGCTTGCAGCGGTATGTCATTCACAAAGATGTTAGTAACGGCACTGCAAAGGCTGCCGGGCGCGGCAGCAGACGTCACAGAAGATAAAACCGACATAGAAACGTTCGAGCCGTGATTTGTGCTTGGCCTGGATTTGCAAACGCTCTGGAAATGGCCTTTCTTTGTACACTTTTTACATGTCGCATCTCTGGCGGGACATCTTGATCTAGGATGTCTGGCGTAGCCGCAAAAGAAACACGTTGACTGGGAGGACGCAGCGACAGGTTCTTCTTGAGAAGATAGCTGCGGCTCAGATGGGATTTCAGTTTTCATCGTGGAGTTACAAGTCGTCAGCTGAAAGGAAGCGGCTTGTTTTTGGGCCAAGTCAAGCGATCTAGCCATCTCGAAAGCGGACTGAAGATCGAGTGATTTTTGTTCCAATAATCTCTGCCTGATGAGGTTAGATTGTAGACCGCTGATAAAAGCACCTCTGATAGCTTGATTCCTGTGTTCGTCGGCAGTGACTGGTAGAAAATTACAGTCACTAGCAGCGGAATTTAACTTCTGAATGAATTGGTCTAACGATTCACCGTTCTCTTGCCTGGCAGTGGCTAGGATGTGACGTGCAAAAATTTCGTTTTTGGGTTTTATGAAGATATCTTGTAGCGTTTTGACGGCATCCTCATAAGAAGAGCACTGAAAAACCACCTCGAACAGGGCAGATGAGATATAATTCATTAACGTTTTGAGCTTGTCCGGCTTCATGGACTCGATCGATTCTAAAAAATTGTTGAAAGTGTAGATCCAATGGGCCCAGCGTTTGCCGGCGTCAGAAGATTGAGGATCCACATCAAAGCGATCTGGGCGTAAGATTCGATCCATGAGATTGTTGTATTAATCGAGTAAATTGTAATGAACACGGATTATTCCAGGAATGAAGGAAGAAGACAAAAGCCGATAAGGAGGCTTTACTCGATTAATAATTCGGACGTATGAGCTATAAAAACAGAAACATGTATTAGAACGGTAAATATGCCAAAGCATGGAATACGGCAAAATCAAAAACACATAACACCACTGTTTCTACAAATTTACCTGTAGCTATGGGGAGCGCTACATTGGGCTCACTGACGGAAGCCTAGGCGTCAGGATCGATGAGCACATCCCTAAATGGTTGCACAAGCGAATGGGATCTCAGACGGTGGAACCAGGTGAATCCAGAGGCTGGAGAGCTTCGACCATCACGAGGCATCTACCGAACACTGGCCACCAGGTCAACCTGTGACTCATTCACTGTCCTCATGCGTAACCAACGACCGCATATACTCAAACTACTTGAAGCCATCGTAATCGATCGCGAGCGACCGCCTCTGCGTACAGAAGCAGTTGACATTAACATTGAACCTGCCGCGGTAGTGCCGCAGTAATAGTTGGCCATCAGCTGACCACCAATCGACCGCATCCGACGTTGCTTGTTTTCAACTACCGAAAACAAGCTTGTTCGCCCAGCCGTCTTTCGCTTCTGATATTCTCTCCGGGATTATTTCCTCAGTTGTTTTCAAATTGTCAGTTGCCTTGTACGTGACTGAGGAGAAGGCACGAAATGACCGGGTCATCTCACAGCTTACGTCTTCTGATATTTGTTTACACAGCTTTTAGCCGAGACGAGATTGTATAGATCATTTCACTTTAGAAACGTTTGAACTAGTGTCACCCGTATCGCAGACCGATGATAGCTGTGTTCCCCCACCCAGTCGACCACTTACTTCTGTTATTCATACTTGCTTGGTCAGGTGTTACCATGTAGTATGACCACTTTGCGTGCTCCATCCTCAGACATTACAGGTCACGCTATTCTCTACAATTGTCTGTTGAACGCCTTCTTTACAAAATGGTATTTAGCAGAACCGCCATCTTGTTTAGGTTTCGCTGACAGCTGTCTTGGGCTCCGCCATGGACAGGATGTGTTACCTTAATAATAATAATAATAATAATAATAATAATACTGTCAACTGTACGCCGTAACGGCACTTCGCTGCCGCGCGACCACCACCAGTCGCGCGCGGATTGAGTATACCGCGAGGACGCCCACCCCTACGCGGATTCGAACCGGTGACCTTATGGTTGCAAAGCAAATGTGCAGGGCATTCGGCCACCTGCCGAGTGGTCTGTATATTATACGCACAATGTCTTGCCGTTTAGCAATCATGGGCGCGTAGAAGTAAACCCTAGATAGGCTCTCTTGACTGGTCCCATTCTTCGGTATGCGCTTCGCGCCTTCGAAACCCCCTTTCAATTTCAGCAAACAGTTGATTACCCCCAGACTCTTTACGACAAGGTGTTGTGGCCTTCTATGTATGGCGAAAGTGCCGACCTCCAAAGCCCAACCACTCAACTCAGAAGTCGGAAGACGTCAAAGAGGAACACTCTCTTGCGAGAAGACAAACGGGGTACATGAAATACGATTTCATTGGTTTATAAAGTCGTCCTACTAAATGCCCTTGAAACTAAATGTGACACTATTTTTGGTTGAACTAAGGTCACGATCATGAAACAAGCGAAACGTCTTCGGGCCGGAATGTTGGATGTTGTATCAGACCGATATCGTTAGGGTCTGCGTCCCCTAACACAAGGAATTAGAGATGGTCGATCGATTCAGTTATCCTAACGACTGCAGCATGAACGGGGGGCGCGTGAATCCGGGAGTTAGTCAACGTATCTCGAAAGTTGGAACTGCCTTCTTTGGTATGCGACCCCTTTGGTACCAGAAGAAGACTCATCTGACCCCATGGGCTATGCATACGGAGTTCACAGTGAGATCATTCTTCCCTTTGAAAGCCTGAGGACCTGTGGCATCTTCAGGTGTTTGGTCATCGTTGTCGGTATCGGATATCATCAGCCTGTTCTCAACGATGGGGTGGACTTGCCACGAAGGGCATTGTTTCGTATGTCCGATCTGGGGTGACACCGAGTTCGAGGGGGGCAAAAATTGATTAAACAGCGGGAGATGAAGTCGTCGCTTGATTCCACGTGCCTATGTTGGGCGTTTGCTGACGTCTTTTATTCAGCTTGTATGTTTGGAGTGTCTGATGCTGACTTATTTATGTAGCAAGTCTGACTATGACTCCATGTATTGAAAGTCGTCTGGCCGAAGCCGTTTTATTTTCACACATTGGAGAGCTATCTGTGACCGTATATTGTTAGTGAGGTGTTGGCACTTTACCCCATGAATGTTGGCTTAGGGTGTTTGGGTTTCACACTAATCCCTTTTGTTTCCCTCTTAGTATTACTTATTTGTTAAAGCCGTCACTGTTATACAACGGCGGCGCATCGGTACAAGCTATTGTCGTTGATGATCTTTCTGATTAAGACGCTGCTTTTCTTGCATGTGTGCTTCGGAGACACAACACGCATCAACTTCGAGGTATCGTAAGGTCTTAACGTGTCGCATCTGGCATAATATGTGGATGCCGAGATACCCAATTCGATGTAGTACTATGAGATTGAAATATGACCTGTCTCCCCTGTCGCTCTGGCTGTTAGCTGGTTTTTTTTTACTAATGCGGAGGTGCGGATGGATTTCTGGCGAGTGAACCGCTCAGCACCGTTATATCACGCACTGGGCTCTGATGGTTGGGCCACGTGTTGCGCATGCTAGCACACCCGCGACATACGTTGTTTGCGTGTCCAGTCTTGATGGAGGAAGAGAGGATGCAAGCGTTGAGAGAGAACTGAAAACCCACATTTCAAATTTGGCATCAGTTGCTGCTTCCCAATTGCCAGGCTGGGGTCTGAATGATGATGAACACGTTTGGTTGGATACACTTGTTGACGTGCCAAGGGGCCTGCGTTCAATGGTGTTCGTGTTGTGAGGTTCTTTGTCATTCCCCTATCGTTTAGATTCCCCTTCCATCCACGATCTCATTTCAAACACAATATTTATTAGTTTTTGTTTTTTATTCAATAATGACTAGTACCTCGCTTTTTCATGTCCTGTTTTTGTATAGTGACACTATAGCTGATGTGTTTGTCATCCGGCTAAGTTGTAATGTGGATAATGATGAATGGGTTCATGTGGAGGGCACCAACGTTGGCTGAACTTCATGTGGCCAATCGCTGTTTGGTACGGATGATGTGACTCTCCACGAGTCCGCTGAGGTCAATGTGACATGACAGTAATTTTACCGCTGTTGTTTACCATGGGATTTTGGACTACTGTGCTGTTGTGACATTCACATCTGATCCTGAGAACCGCTTGGATTCTTAGTTGAAACCTTCCATATAACCACTTAATTGCAACTACACTATTAAATAATCCACACTATGCTCATGCCGTATCTGCTTGCACGAATATAGATCTGACGCAACTGCTGTCTAGTGGTCACCACAAAGAAGTAACCGGGAACAATAATTTTTGGTTAAATTAGTACAACAGTGGGTCGTTGCACTGTCCTGAAGTCGATGCACCAACCCGAGGGAGCAGGATACTTATCAACGTAGTCATTTACTTGATTGATTAGTTTCATAGGTACTCTAGAGACACCGTGTGGGTAGCTTCGAGCCATGATTTGTTTTGTGCTAGCTCATGGTTCCCACAATCGGGCTGGATTCACAATAGTTCATAACTTTTCTCATTGTAGGTTTTCCACTATGTGTTCAGCTCCTCAATCGGTCACAGAAGTCTACCAAGTAACTGTCAGTGATCCAAAGCCACATCCCCTGAAAAAGTTTATGATGTACAAAGTGCGAATAGAGAAGTGCCCTGTCGCGGTCGATCAGGATAGCAATGTGATGGAGTTTTACAAACGTTTCAGTGACTTCAAAAAATTGGAACGTTCTTTGGGCACTTACCACAAGCAGCTTTATCGGGCGGAAAAGTTCCCTCCTCTTCCATCAGGATTTTTCAATCAATCAGAGCCTGGAATAATTGAAAAACGTCGGAAAGCTGCTGAAGAGATGCTACAATTTATATACGAACGTCAGTACTTATACAAGCACACAACTTTTATCGAATTTTGCTCATCTTCCTGTGATACCAATGCGGAATGATGATATATAAGCCATCGTGACTTTCAGCTCATACTTTCGATCGTAACACTTATTTTTTTACCTGGCAACTATGTTCTGAAGGTTTTTATTCTTTTTAATAGTTTCATAATCTGTGATCTCTAGGTGGACAACTGTGAGATATTTTTACTCTTTCTGTGAGGGTTTTGTATTTTTTGTTTTGACCTAACCAGATGACATTGTTGCTTCTAATGACTATATTTGACTGAAGCGATAGCTGCGTTGTCAGTTCTTGTTAATAAAGTGATAATACGATGTTTTGCTGGTCTATTAGAGATCATTCACCTACTGGGGGAGGGCTTTTTACTTCGATAAAAACGATAATTGTTGAATCACGTCCGATTGTAGTTGCTCCCCTAAGGAAAGTCTACCGTCGCCTACTGACCTTTCTTGTCTTTGCACGCACAATTCAGTGGTTCTTTTTGATTTTATCTAAAACAACCGGACGCTCTTCGTACACATCATTATGGCTTTACGAATGCTGCTTCTGGCAATTTATAGCGTCGGTTAATGACTATAACCGAGTTTTCGCACTTTACACTAGCACATCTGGTCCAAAGTGAACTACTGGAATTTTTCTTCAACGGACCCCTTAAACTACCGGTTTTTATTCATTCCCATCAATTAGCTTTTCAAGGTGGCATTTCCCTCTACAGTATTTAACATAGTTGCAAATGTATTCAACTCATCCACGTCGCGATAAGCCTTAGTTGATAGTTTGTCACTGGTTACATCGTAGTTTAGGCAAGGTAGCATGTGCAGCTAGCGAGATGTCACGCTACAACTGGCAATTTTTATGGTACTTATGCTTCGTCCTGCTTTCAGCGACATGAGTTGCTTTTAGGTTCATTTCACTTTTTGCTAGTACAGAACAGCCAAAGCACCGCATCTTCACAGAATGTCCATCCTAGTAAATGTGTGGTAATTCCGCACCGCGGTACCTAACACCATGTCTGAAATCGCATGAACTCTGACATCACGCATCAATGTTTCTGATCTAAAGTTCATGTTGTAGCGCTTCAGCAATCTAATCGCAAGCGCGTGAGCAAATGACCTTCGGTTCACTAAATCGTCACTTGTTAGCAGTTATGTGACTCAAAATTTCATGCCGATGGAGAAGCATCTTGGCATGCTCATACAAATCACTCTGCTTCCTGATACATACGTACAACTTGGCCCAATCTAAACACTGCCTTACTTATGTTTGTGAGAACACAGTGTGTAGGAATATCTGCAACATTATTCTAATGAGACTGAGACTGTATTTAAGAGCAAGTAGAATGGTTTCTGTACAGCCCTATCGAATTACGAAAAATCAAAAACATTTAGTTATGAATCATCAGCACTTGTGTCTGGTCCGTTAATCGCTTATCCTTGTTCGGTTGGGAATTCGTATTGGTATCATTATTTCCGGGCATACGATGTCCTTCGTGATTGTATGTGCATCGTTTCACAAAAGCACACGTTTCCGAAATAATCGTCGATACGTGTTTTAAAACACTTCACAGAATCGGCCTCTATTAATCTTTCAAGTAGTGTATTCCGTAAGTTTACGATTCTTCGTTCGATACAAAGCTGAAGCGATACTTTGCTCATGCACGGGACCCTGAGTTTGTAACGGTGTCCTCGGGTGTTACAGGGTTCCCACAGGTGAAATATTGGCCGCAGTATGGGGAAGTGATTTAAGTGTAGTACTCGATGGGCCATAATAATGTCAATTCTTACTCGGTAGTAGCGCAATGTGAACAGTCCGAGCCTTTCACAACGTTTTTCATACGGAAGCTTTCGTAGACTCGGCATCATTCTAGTTGCGATATGCTGTATTTTGTCCAGCTTTTCAGTTTCCCATTGGGTTATCGGATGGTAAGCTGGAGCACCGTATTCAAGAATTGGTCTAATGAGCGAGGTGAATAGACGAGGGACGGTTTCTTCGGACTATGTGGAGAACCTGCGTCTTAATGCCCAGAGCATACGAAGTCCCGCACGGTACAATTTCTCTGTATTTTCCAGTGATCTTAAATCATGTCGTGAGAGAACTCCTAAGCCTTTGACAGATGTGTTGGGATGGAGCAACTGGCCTTCCAAGGTGTATGATCGAGTGGCTGGACGTCTGGTGATACTGATGAACTCCGACTTGCTTGCATTAAGAGAGAGTTACATTTCAGTGGACCACGTTGACAGTCGCTCTAAGTCATGCTGGAGGCGAGCGCAGTCGTCCTGGCTCTCAGTGATCCTCCAGACTTTCAAATTATCTGCAAACAGGGCACATGGTGACTGGATGATCGTTGATATGAATAAGAAATAATACTGATCCACGTACAGTTCCTTGAGGCACGCCACTGGTTAATGGGAACCAGTCTGTCGGGTAGTCATTGACCTGTACTCTAAACCTTCGTCCCACAATAAACTCGTGTAACCACTGAAGTAACGTGCCATCGATTCCGTATGTCCTCAGTTTACGAAGGAGTACCTCGTGGTTCACTCTGTCAAGCGCCTTACTAAAGTCGATGTAGACCACGTCAACATCCTTCTGTTCCTCAAGAACATCAGTCTGAGGCAAACAATTGTTTTCAATGATTCATCTACAGGCCGGTACAATCATATAAGGTTAAATTACAAAGGGATGGATAGTGATTGGTTCTGGGGTTTGTTCTGAACTGACTCGGTCAATGGTTAGACATCGAATGGTTCGCCGCTGTCTCATACACACAGATCGATTGAGGGTTACGTAATCACAGGGCCTGACCCGATGTCGGGGTGACGGATAGGCTGATGGTTGTTCGGCCAGGGCAGGTATAGAGATTGAACAAACTTTTTCTGCGAGCACAGCGGGGGTTGGAATATGCGGATCGCAATGGCCTCTGCAGTGGCGAGCATCCTTAACCGCGTACCTTTCGATTTGCTCATTGGAACCTGATAAATCACAGTGAAAGCATTCGGGAGGTTAACCTGGTGACCAGATTCGAAAAGATGAGATAAGATACCGCTTGTAAGTACTCCGGTGCCCCCGTTCAACAACCACTTAGGGCTATGTTCCTTAATGCGACGTGACAGTTGACGAGCCGTACGACCAATGTATGTTGCCCCACAAGTGCACTCAAATCGGTAGATAACGTAAGAAGAGGTCAGCTTCGGCAGTCTGTCCTTGTTGCACACAGGAATTAGCTGATTCGTGGCGAAGTTGCATCGTAACTCCGCAGCCGGAAAGGTGTTCCTTATCGATTGCGTCAGTTTCCTTGTTAAGAGCTCACTAACTGTATCACCTTTAAAATCAAGGCGGATGAAGAGGGCCTTTTGCGCGACTACGTCCTTAACGACCGGTGTTATTTTGGGCTGCATGTTGCGCTGAATGAGTCTTTCTGGATAACCATTTTCACGCAAAGTGTTCTGGATGGATTTCATCTCATCCTCCAGAGCATCCTCTGAACATATCTTTTTCGCCCTTGAGGTGAGACAATGTACTAAGTTACGCTTGTATTTAAGCGGTACAAAACTACTGAAATTTGTATACTGACCTGTCCACGTCTTCTTTCTGTTTGTCTTCCTTAATATGGAACCGTCAGTTCGTCTAATAAGGTGTACATCCAGAAATGAGAGTTGGCCATCTTGTTCAAGTTCGTAGGTGAACTTAATCGCCGGGTGCGCACCATTAAACTCTGTCAATATATTCTCCAGAGAGATATCTTTATGGGTTATGCAGAAAATGTCATCCATATAACGATAGTAATGGTCGAAACTATCTATAAGTGGCCCCAGTGATTCCGTTTCTAGCTTGGCAAGAAAAATATCTGCCAGCAATGGTCCGAGTGGAGACCCCATTGCGACCCCATCATTCTGCCGATAATATGTGCCGTCGAAAAGAAACTGAATATTGTAGGTGCATCTCAGAAGTAATTCTTTCAGGCTTGGTAAGGGTATAGCTAAATGAATGCTGTTATCATGCACATAGTTGCATAGATATTCTATTGTCTCCAGTAGCGGGACATTCGTGAATAAAGAAGCTACATCAAGTGAGAACATCTTCTTCTCCTTCAGGTTCCCATCTCTAATGTGCTCTACGAATGTAAAACTATCTCGAACACTACCTTTGGCAATTTGTTTTCTTATTGGCTCCAGTAATTCTGCCAACCACTGGGCTGTTGGATGACATGCGGAGTTTGTCATGGACAATATTGGGCGTATAGGTACACCTTCTTTGTGAACTTTTGGCAGTCCATACATTCGCGGGATAAATGTTCCAACTGGCCTCAGACTTTAAAACTGACTACTAGATATAAAACCGCGGGTACATAGATCTTTCAGGCAATCCGTCAGGTTTTGTTCCGCTTTGGCTGTTTGTTCCTTCTCACCTACTTTTATACAAAACTTCGTTTCGTCTCGGAGGATCTGGTTTAGTTTCGAGATATAATCACTTCTATCCATTAGGACTATACCACTTCCCTTATCTGGCTTGCAGATGACTATATCTTTATTGTTTTTTAACTCTCTCAGGGAGTTCAAATGTTTACGAGTAAGCAGGCCGCGTTGATTCACCTGGTAGTTTCGATATTGGTAACAGCAATTGACCAACGAGGACTTGAAACCTTCTAGACCATCGGTTGATAGCGCGACTAAATCTTTCGTTTGTGCTAACAGGCTTTCAAATTGTGTCTCAGTGTCTAACTGACGTTCGTTACTTTTAGGATAACAGAATTTCGAACCGAGTGACAAGATTTCAAGTAGTTCAGGCGAGAGCACCAATTTCGAAAAATTGTGAACATACTTTTCTGGATGGTTCGGGAAAGCAGCCCGTGGCTTCATGGGGCTAAGTGATCGAGCCAATGCATCACGTTTCTTTTGCACTCTTCTGTCTACGATCTGTCAGGTTCCAATGAGCAAATCGAAAGGTACGCGGTTAAGGATGCTCGCCACTGCAGAGGCCATTGCGATCCGCATATTCCAACCCCCGCTGTGCTCGCAGACAAAGTTTGTTCAATCTCTATACCTGCCCTGGCCGAACAACCATCAGCCTATCCGTCACCCCGACATCGGGTCAGGCCCTGTGATTACGTAACCCTCAATCGATCTGTGTGTATGAGACAGCGGCGAACCATTCGCTGTCTAACCATTGACCGAGTCAGTTCAGAACAAACCCCAGAACCAATCACTATCCATCCCTTTGTAATTTAACCTTATATGATTGTACCGGCCTGTAGATGAATCATTGAAAACAATTGTTTGCCTCAGACTGATGTTCTTGATGAATCACTGAGAATGTTCCATTTGTTAAAACG